ACCTTGTCTCAGAAGAACGGACAAGCAGACAGGCAGGCGGATTAGCAGGACACCATTTCTTTTAAATACACTCATCTCTACAGTAGTTTAAATTCCACAGGAATAAGGCTGGAAAATGGTCTAGGTGCAAAATAACTTCCTTTTTGGTCCTTGAAAATATGTTTCCTCTTTGATTACAAAATATTTTACCTTCAAATCAGAGGCCTTTTACTTGTGGTTGTGGGAGGGACTTATTCCTAGCCTGTTAAACACTTCTAGCTCACCTTTCAGTATTTCCAGCATTCTTGAGATCTTAGAATTGTTAAGACCATGTATCATCAATAAATACATTATAACTTCTTCAAGTTTATTTTCAAGTGAAAAAAATATTAACTACATAAACCTGCTGGGTGGCGGCGGTGCACACCTTTAATTCCAGCACTTGGGAGGCAGAGGCAGGTGGAGTGAGTTCGAGGCCAGCCTGGTCTACAAGAGCTAGTTCCAGAACAGGCTCCAAACAAAATGAGTTCCAGGACAGCCAGAGCAACACAGAGAAACCCTGTTTTTGTTTTTGGGGAACTACCTAAATGTCTTCAGTGCATTTAAATATGAAAGAAAACAATCTTCAATCACTTTAGCTTATAAACTAGTATCTGGTCATCCCAGCTGTCAAGAAATAGATCTGAGAAAAGAGAGCCTTGCTTTTATGCAGATGACTATCAAACAAACAGGAAGATCTGAGGCAGGTTAGGACCAGCCCAGCAAATGGCACCCTAGTTACTACCCCAGTCCACTGTCCTCTTGTGGTCTACTCAAAACTCATTCTTTGGAGCTGGGGAAGGTAGCTCGGTTGGCAAGGTGCTTGCCTAGCAAGGCTGAAGCCCCGCGTTCTATCCCCAACACCACATAAACTGTGTGTGGTTGCACAAACCAGTATTCCTAGCACTAGGGAGGCCGGAGGATCCGAAGCTCAAGGTCATCGCTGACTGTTCAAAAAGAATAAAAGTCAGCCCTGCCAAACAACGTTGGAAAGCACCTAGTCACTTCTGGTAAAGCTACTGTAGGTGAACTGGCACACTGACCACAGCCACAGTATGTCTATTATTCAGAGTCATTAGGGGGGCTTGTGTTTGGAATCTTAGAATCTAGGAGACAGGAAGGTGGAGTTTGAGGCTAGCAGCCTGGACTTTATAGGGAGCGCCAGGCCAGCCTGGGCTAGAGTATGAAACCCCAGCTCATAAAACAAAAGGGCAGAGCCAAGGCGACGGCTGAGTACCTAAAGGCCCACTTGGTGACCCAAGCTCTATCCAGAACCTCAGTAAAAGATGGCTTGAGGGGCAACTGTGGTGAGCACTCTGATGTGGAGACAGGCAAAGACAGGAGAGCCACCCAGAGTTCACAAGTCAGTTCTGGTATACACAGGATCCTGCACCCACCAGGTGGGCGGGGAAGTGACTGCTCCAAGTTGTCGCCTGACCGTCACACAAAGTAGACCACAGGAACAGCCAAAGCCAGCCATACTCCTCCCAGAATGCCACTTCCCTTTGCTCTTGGGTGATCATTGATAATCCTGACTAGATCATGGTGCACTCTGCGCTAAGGTCTGAAATTCAAGTTAAAGGCTTAAAATCGGGGCTAAGTACAAGACTGACTCAATTCCCCGAACCCCACCCTACTTCCCCTCTCAGAATCGCTTCAAGAACAACACACTGAATCGTGAGTACTGAAAAGCGCTTCAGTTTGCTCCGCAATTTGGTGCTAAATTCCTTCAGAGCAGAGAACAGTTAATGAAGGTATCTGTCCAAAGGCACAGCTGGTAACTGCACAGCTGGTAACTGCACAGCTGGTAACTACACAGAGACTGACAGAGAACTCAAGGTTTTCATACAATTAGAAAAATTAAAATGTAGTTTCTGCAGTCAATACTAACAGCCATCAAAACAAACAGCTTACAGAAATATTACTTATTTTCTGAATCTTCATCATGTATTTGCCCAAGACAGTGGGGATACTGCATGCTTATCTGACTACTTTGAGCTGTCCTGATGTGAGAATCACCAATCATGACGTGGCGGATGGTCTAGACGTAGGACAGCCTAAATGTCTAAACTGTCGTTAGCACTGCAGCTCAGAAGCACCGAGTGAGTACAAGCTAAATGGTGAAGTTAGACGGCTGCAGATGGCTCAGCAGGGAAGAGCACTAGCTGCTATGGCAGAAGACCCAGGTTCAGTTCCCAGCACTTACATGGTAGCTCACAACCACCAGTAACTCCAGCTCCAGGGATTCCAATGCCCTCTTCTGGCTTCCACAGAAACCGGGAACATGTGGTACACATAACATACATGCAGACAAAACATTCATACACACAGAACAAAAATAATTTCTTTTAAAAAGTTAATATACCAGTTAATTGGGTTAACACATAAAAAAGGTCTTTTTTTAAAAAGAGAGAGAGAGAGTTCCAGGACAGCCAGGGCTACATAGTGAAACACTGTCTCAAAATAAGTAAGTAAGTAAATAAATAAAAATCTCCTGCCTTGTTTTCAATTCCTAATTAGAGTGATCACCCAGCTCTCAACATTCAGGATGCAGAGTACTGTTTCTTGAGATCTAGTATCTGCAAAGGAACCAAAAGGGAAAAGGATCCCGTAGTTCTGAGACTTCAGCACAATGAAGACTCGCTTGTTGCCAAAGAGCTGTGATCGACACCTGGTGCACTTCAGCTCACCCTGTTGCTTCTTATCTCCTCCAGCCACACAGTACACAGAAAAGCAGCCCTGGGCTTTCCCAGACAGGGTCTTGCTATGCAGCCCTGGCCGGTCTGCAACTCACTATATATGCCAGGCTGCCCAAACTTGGGCAGGCCCTTCTGCCTCCGCCTCCCCAGTGCTGGAATTTAAGTGTGTACCAGGTACCAGGCCCAGCTCACGGAAGCCGTTTCTAAGGCACAAACTCCAAATGCAGAATCCCTTGAAGCAGCCCTAACCAGGTAAAGTTTCACCCAAAGCTTTGAATCTGAGATGCCACGCACCTTCAAACCTTACCCTTCTTATGTGGCTATGGTTATTGCACAGGTAATCACCATGAATTGCATCTGAGGTCAGAAACCATGGAAGTTACGTTACACAAGTCACTTGACTTCTCTGCTTCCAGCCCAAGAGTCCAAATGGGTTCCTATCTACACAATGAATCAGGAAAGGGCAACAGATGGCATTACAAAGAGATAAATTTAAACATATTTTGGCAAGAGTCTCCTCCAACAAACGTCAGAAAGATCTGGCCTCCACTGTACACTTCAGGTTGACTTAGAGCACTATAATAACTACCTCCCGGAAGGGGCAAGTGGAACGTAATCTTCCTTTCCCTCCCCAATTCCTTACAATCCTTCAGTGGACTGCACTGCCCCTGAGCTAGTCTCGTTGGCTTATACCACCATCCATATCTTCACAAAACTAAGTCTTCTAAAGCCACAGCCTACAAATCCTCTGTGCTGCTAACAGGAAAGCCCTGGAGAGCCTACCCCAGCTCTCAACAGAGGCCCCGCATGCATCTCTGCCAGTCTGTCCACTCCCCATCCCAGGTGCCCCCTGATTTCTAGAAAGGTATATTCCTCCTCTCATTTCAGGGCCTTGACAGATTCTGTTCCCTCAGCTTGGAATGTTCTTTTCATTCCTGGCTGCTCATTCCCCCTTTCACACCAACCTCTTCTCAGACCTTTCCCCAGGTCAACTCGTCAGCAAAGTCTTCTGTGACTCTCCTGCGGAGGTCCTACTCCTGGAAAACACCTCTGCAGCAGGCTATTGCTCCTCCGGAGCACATTCTACCCTTGGATAACATTCTCCGTGTTTCAGACACACTCTCACTATCCAGCTCTGGCTGGCTCTGCCTCCCAAGTGTGAGGTTTTAAGTAAGGTCTGTGCTACCACACCTAACTCGTACAAGTATTATTAAAACCTCCCTCCTGCATAATTGTCTGTAAACTCGGTGAGAACAGAGACCGGGTCTGCTTCCCAAGCCTTGGTGTCCCCATAGCCTCTGGTACTGAGCGTGCACTTAGGTGACAGGTGTTACTCGGCCTCAGAGCTATCCCCACTGCTCCACAATGCAGCAGACTTCAAACCTGGCCTTGGCACCCCGAAACATGCCTTCCCTCTCGTCAGGCCCTCAAATCCTGGGGCCTTCCCTGAATAGAGAGTTCTCCTTCCTCCATTCTCCAACCCCGCTAGCTCACCAAAACCCAAATTCAAGTTTTCTCTCCTCCATACTTTTTTCCTCTCTGTTTTTACAAGTTTCATCAGTTCTCCTGTGACCTATCATCTCACCGATCAGTGCGAACTCCAGGGCCTGGCTAGTCACACCCCAGCACACCACTAACTACTGAGCGGCCACCACCACCCCAAACACACACACACAAACACACACACACACATTACATTTTTCCTCTGAAAAAGAGCACTCGCTTCCCTCTTATGCCTCATAGGTGATTCAATTTGCCTTGTGAGAGGCTGCCAGCAAGTTCCTTTTGAGGAGATTTTGCCTACCCTCCTCACATTCTGGGGAAATGGTTTTAGCTGCCTGTGTTCCTGTTCCGTCCACTGCCTACAATGACCCTGTGTCCTCTGTGACCGCCCCCTGCCTGCGGTAGGCACCTCTTCGGCCCTGAAAACTGACATTTCTTCTCCTCCCGGACAGGCGAGAACACCCAGCGGAGACAGCACTCCAGCCCACATCCTCCTTGGAGAGCCAATCTGTTACATTCCACCCCCTCGCGAGTGGCCAGCACTGGCTGGGACTCGAACCCAAGAGGGACCCGAACGTACTATACCTCTCCCTTCTGCCCACTGGGTTCCCGTCAAGGCCCCTTCTTCCGAAGACACCAACCCTGGGCCAGGAGATGCGGACACCCAGCGCCCAGGCCGGCTGCAGCTCCGACGCCACAGTCTAGGCCCCCGCGCCCGCCCCCATCCTTCCCCGGAGGCCACTGCAGTGCCAGCTCCCGGCAGGGCTGTCGCTCACTGACCCGGGAAGGTGTCTCGGAGGCGGCGGCGGCGGCGGCGGCGGCGGGTGCGGAGGTGGGAAGCCGGGCAGACGTTAACCGCTCAGCGCTCCATCCCTCCCGGACCTAAGCTCCGGCCTCTCGGCTTCCTCGACCCCTGCGCCCAGAGCGAGTCACGTGCCAGCCCGAGCAGTCAGCTGACCGCAGCGCACACCGCTCCGCCTACGGCGCGCGATCGTGACGGCCGCCGGAGAGGGCGGGGCTGGGAGGATGCAGCGCGCGCTTCCGCGTGGGCGGGGCTCCCCCCATCCCCCCCCCCCCCCCCGCCCCCCCTTGACACCAGACCAGGGTCTCCAGCCACCCGGACGCGTCCCCGCCTGCAGATTCCCGCGATTCAGGCTCCCCAGCCTCCTGCCCCGACTGCAAGTTTTATCGGACAGTCCAGCTTTCGGGAAATCTCCCTAGAAGTTCTCTTCCGTGTATTGACGTTTTTCATCCAGTCTGGTACCACTTCGTTCCGTGTTCAGCTTTAGCCACTGAGCACGAAGCGTTGTCAAGCTGTTTTTTTAGGATTAGCTAGCAAGGGGACTCCGCGTCTGGTTTAGGCGGTAGCAAAATGAATACAGGTGATCAAGGATGGTTTCAGAATAGAGGCAAGGACGGGGAAACCATCGGCCTTGGATCCCAAAATAGTAGATATGGAGCCGCTCTCTCAAACCTTGCATATCTGATTGGTTGGGAAGATAGGTGGTACCTATCTCAGAATTTTAGAAACTCGGGGTTGGGGGATTTTTCTATTTTAATTGTTTTTATTAGATTTACAACTTAGCAAACTGGAGGCCCAGAGGTCATGGAGACCGTGCACAAAGGAATGGGCACTCTCGACATTAAGTCCTGGCTGTCCTTACTAGAACATGTAATGATAGACTTTATCAACTTGGAGACAACTCTGGGCGTGTCTTTGCCGGAGTTTCCAGCCAACTTTAACTAAGAACGCTGGCCCTGAATGGGCAGCACCATCTCGTGGGCTGGGAGCGAACACAGGATGACCTTTGCCAGCGATGGAGAGATGGCTCCGGAGTTAAGAGCGTATTCTGCCCTTGCGGAGGATCTGAATTCTGTTACCAGCACCCATGTGGAGCGCCTATGACTCCAGCTACCTCCAGGGGATCTGATAGCTTCATCTGGCCTCCACCCAGGGAGACAAACACACTCATACACATAAACACAAATAAAATAGGGCTTTAAAAAATAAGTAAGGGCTAGAGAGAAGACTCAGCAGGTAGAGGCGCTTGCCAAGCCTGATACCTTAGTTGTACCCCAGGACCCTCATAGTGGAAGGTGAGAACCAGGATAGTCTCCAGTTGTACCCCAGGACCCACATAGTGGAAGGTGAGAACCAGGATAGTCTCCAGTCTCCACACATACACAGTAACACCCACATGTGTACATACAAACAAATGTAGTAAAAAAAAAAAAAAAGTTTAAAAAATATTTGGGTTTTTTTTTTTGGTTGGTTGGTTTTACTGGGGGATGGGCATGTCTCTCTTTGTAGTCGAAGCAAGCTGGCCTCCAACTCACAGAGATTCACCTGCCTCTGCCTCCTAAGTGCTGGGATTAAAGGCGTGAGCCACCGCCCAACTTTTTTTTTTTTAAGGAGGCAGCTAAGCACTAACATTCACCTCTCTGCTTCATCTCAGACTCCTGCCTTCAGAGTTAGCTTGCTCTTACCACCCTGCTACAAACTGTGAGACAAAATAACTCTTTTTGTATTTGTTACTTTCTATTGCTAGAATAGAACACCTTTGTAGCTCAAATTCTAATTGGTCTTAATAATAAAAATTTAAGAGTCAGCTATCAGGGGTGAAAGTGGAATGATGAGAGGAGCGATCCTGTCCCTTCGAATCCTCAGACTGCACTGAGCGCCTGCCTCCTCCCGCCTTATATTCCTCTCTCCACCCAGTCAAGTCACTCCGGCCTCCACCTCCCTAGTGCTGGGATTAGAGCCCTGTGATCCCAAATGCTTTGTGTGAGCTCTGTTTCTCTTTTAGACAGGTTCAATCTCTGGGAGCTCAGGGTGGCCTTGAACTCACAGAGATCGACCCGCCTCTGTCCCGCTGGCTTAAAGGTGTGTACCTCCACTGCCTAACCTCTATTGCTAACTCATGGCTTGGCTCTGCACTCTTCATGCTAGCTTTATTTGTTAGATCACCAACAAAGTATCACTACATACCATAGCCAAGGCAACTTATATTTATTTGGGTTTGTGTTCCAGAGGATAAGAGTCCATTCCCATCACAGCAAGGAAGTGTGGAAGCTCACAGGCTTAGCAGCTGGAATAGCTGAGAACTCACAGACCAAACCACAAACTGGAAGCAGGAAGCACACTGGAAATGTGATATACTTCCTCCAACAATGCCACACCTCCTAAGCCTCCCCCAAACAACCCCACCCACCAGGGACCAAGTATTCAAATGGCCGAGACTGAGCAAAAAGTCCCTTCAAACTACCACAGCTTTCTGCCCTTAAATTGTTACTTGTATTTTGTGGCAACCACAAAAAAGGCAAATAATACTCCAAATTGTTAGGAAAAGTGAGATCTCCTGTCTAATAAACCTGAACGTGTGTTTCTTAAGCCTTGGAAACATGTTTACAGAAACGGTGTGGGAGAGTTCAGAACTGTGGGCTAGGACAGCTCTACAATGCTGTATAGAGCTTAATCAGTCGATACCGAGCGGGGTTCAGAAGACCAGAACGCCCACAGAAATGTAAGTGAAGTCCTGGCTCATGAGATTTCAGTGGGGAACAAGGACTAGGCTAGAAGTCCTTTGCATCCAATTCTGGAAAGAACTTGCTACATTTTGGCTATGTCCTGAAATTTTAAGGCTAAGCTCAAAAGTAACATAGTACATTACTCAGCAAGAGATTTTTAATGACAGTGTAACATCCAGCCTGCAGGACTGTTACTGCTGACTGCTCTTAGCTCTTCATCAGAAAGAAGAAAACCATGAAAAATGCAGTTTGATTGAAGAAGCTTGAACATCTTAAAATGGCAGGCAAGGTAGGTGTAGAGAAAGCAGATGTTCCATTGATAGCTCCAACCAGTGAAAATATAAAATCTTTGGAAAAGAAGGAACTTGAGGAAAATACAGCCAAATGGCTCGTTCTTCAAAAACAACTGCTTAAACGGCAAGAAAGATGCTCAGTGGTTGAGAGAACTTGTTGCTCTTCCAGAGGACTAGAGCTCATTCCCAGCACCCACATCAAGCGGCTAAAAATCACCTTCAGCTCTTCTGGCCTCCTTGAGCATGTTTGTGGAGTATTTTCTTGATTAATGATTGATGTGGGAGGGCATAGCCACTGTGGTCAATGCCTCCCCTAGGCAGGTAATTCTGGATTGTATAAGAAAGTGAACTGAGCAAGCCCTAGAGAGCAAACCAGCACACAGGGTTCCTCCATGGTCTCTGCTTCAGTTCCTGCCACCAGGTTCTCACCTGAATTCTTGGCTTTGCTTCTTTTTTTTTTAATATTTATTTATTTATTATGTATACAATATTCTGTCTGTGTGTATGCCTGTAGGCCATAGGAGGGCACCGGACCTCTTTACAGATGGTTGTGAGCCACCATGTGGTTGCTGGGAATTGAACTCAGGACCTTTGGAAGAGCAGGCAATGCTCTTAACCTCTGAGCCATCTCTCCAGCCCTTGGCTTTGCTTTCTTCAGTGATGGATTGTAAGCTGTAAGATGACATAAACCCTTCCTCCTCCAGTTGCTTTCAGGTCATAAGTGTAATGGTCTGTCTTGTCCCTTTAAGAGACAAGCCCTGCCCACTCCCCTACTCCACCCCCCCCCCGCCACTCCCCCAACACCTGTCCACTGAGGCAAGTAGATCTTCTTTCTGAGCCTGAGTCCCTTCCTTTCTGTAACTCTCCCAAAGAGGCAGCTTTTGCCTCTCTCCCTTCTCCCCACTTCTCCCCGCTTCCTCTCCCCCCCACTCTTCCCTCTTCTCCCCTTTCCCCTCCCATAACCCACTAAATAAATACCCACCTGCTCTACATGGTGCTTCTCTGTCTCCACCCACTGAGTGTCTCTCACCCACCAGGCAGCTCCCTGCCTGGGACTGGCTGCCTTCATGGCCCACCATGGTCTCATGGCCCACTGCCTATTGCTGCCACTCAGGGACCTGCTGTCATTTTATTTTTACCATAACATTGGTGTTTGTGACTTGGACAAGCTCTTTCCACGTTCTCTCTGCCCACGGGTGGCTGAGGACATATGAAACCCTGGGAGTTCTAGGTCAGCCTGGTCTACACGACAAGTTCCCCCACCAGGTGGAGTTACACAGTTACACAGTGTGGTGGGCAAAATGAACAACAGGGTAAAAGTACTTGCCACCAAGCCTGAAGGCCTGAGTTCGAATCCCCAGATCCACATGGTGGAAGGAGAAAACTGACTCCCTTAAGTTTTCCTTTGACCTCCTCAGCACATAGGCATGTATGAGTGTGCACATGCATACACTTAATGAATGAGTGAATTAATGAATGAATAAATAAATATAAATTGCAAAAAAATTTTTTTAACTCTTAATTATATCAGCTGGGCATGATGGCTCACACCTGTAATCCCAACACTAGGTGACTGAGCCTAGAGGATTGCTATGAGTTTGAGGCTAGCCTTGTTTAACTTCCTTGTTGTCTGTAATTGACAAGGATATTTGTGTTCTTTCTGGCCAATGGGTCTCCACAAAAGCAGTAGAGGTATAAAAGGTTGCTGGGCAAAATAAAGGTTGCTGTTCTTCCACCTGAAAAAAAGCCTCTGTGTCTCATAGCCTGAGCTACATAGTTAGGCCTTGCCTTGAGAAACCTAAATGATGGATAGATAGATAGATAGATAGATAGATAGATAGATAGATAGATGTGTAGATGGATGGATAGATAGATAGGAGATAGATAGGATGGATGGATAGATAGATAGATAGATAGATAGATAGATAGGATGGATAGATAGATAGATAGATAGGATGGATAGATAGATAGATAGATAGGATGGATAGATAGATAGATAGATAGGATGGATAGATGGATAGGATGGATAGATAGATAGATAGATAGATAGATAGGATGGATAGATAGATAGATAGATAGATGGATGATAGATGGATAGATAGATAGATAGATGATAGATAGATAGG